CTGTTTTATACTCCTCGTTTATTCAAGCCCAAATATTATAGGGCCTGTTTGACAAATTTGATAGGCCCTGAGCCTCCCTCCTCCTCCTCCTCCTCCTCCTCCTCCTCAGCATCACCATCACCATCCTCCTCCTCCTCCTCCTCCTCCTCTCTCGCTGCCCGCAGCCGCAGCTCCTCACACTCCAGTCTGACCCGCTTTATCCGGTAAGAGAGGATTTTTTTTTTCTACATAATATCTTTACGCAGCAGGTGAAAGACAGTTAATATTTTTTTTTTCTTGGGAGGAAAGTAGCTCCATCCAGGCGGCACTTTAGCCATCTTTTTATTTTTTTATCCTCTTAATGTGGAGCCCAGTTTATTCTGGATGAGAATGAAGAAGGAGGCATTTATAATCCACTAAATGGTGCATCTTTTTTAAATAAGAAAAAGATCTACGTGGATGTTTCTGGGATTATTCTCCAGTCATTTGTAAGTAGCCTTTTAATATTTTTACCAGCCATGTGGGTGCAGCAGCAGCGTTCAAAACACGTGTTAATATAACGCTTGGAGAACATGTGGCAAACTAATACCAAAAGTGAGCTTTTTTTTTTTTCATCTAAATTTTATTTTTCTGATTCATTCTAATATAAATCAACTTTTTCAACAACACATTTATATAATGTCATAATAAAGAATAATACACACGAAGGCCCCTTCATCAGCATCTACTTGCTGCAAATACATCTTTAATTTTTTTTTTTTTTCTCTCACCATGCAGGGAAGAATGTCAATTAGGCTGCTTTGAGGTTTAATGCAAACTCCGGAATATTTAATGAGGGTCTTCGCTGCTCATGTAAGAAGTATTCATGTGGTAGTAGAGCAGGAGGAGGAGGAGGAGGAGGAGGAGGAGGCCCCAGGCAGCGCTGCAGTGCAGAGTTCAGCAGGGAGATATTGTTGTGAGCCTGGGAAAGTGTAGCGGGGCTGACGCCAGACTCTGTTGTGCGGGGTGGGGGGACCTGGAGGATCCCAGACCTGATTGTCATGTAAATGTCTCTCCGGCACGTTGTTGAACTTGATGTTGACTTCTTTCTCTCTCTCTTTTTTTTTTTTTTTTTTAACCCCCCTTATTCTTTTTTTTTTCTGAGGGGGGGTACAGAAGGGAGGAGGGATGGGGGCAAATTTTCCCTGTCACTTGTTTGTGGGAAAATCCATCTGAGGACACACACACACACACACACACACACACACACACACACACTATTCACATATCTCACAAACATGCAGCACAGTTGAATGAACGCACTCCATCTGATCATCTATTAATAATTTCCTTGCATATTTATAATAATGTCACATTTCCTGCAGACCTTCACGCATTTTGTTGCATCACGCAGCAGCTGCACATCCCATCATCATCCACTGATCAAACACTTCATGCATCAGACAAACAACCCCACGTTCTGCTCATTTCTAAACCATCGCAGTGACAATTCCTTCAATCTTTTTTTTTAAATCTACCAGCTCCACATGCATCCCTGCAAGTTTGCCAGCAGATTTATCACAAGGGCTCCACGTGTACCTACTCCCACGACTTCCTCGCGCATGCTCAGGTGCAATCACGAGCTCCTCTCACTCTCTCTCTCTCATGCTAATCCTGCAGGAGTGATGTTATTTTGATTTGGTTTTATTTTTTAAATACTCGGGCCTTTCCTTCCTTCTCGTCTTTTTTTTTTTTTTACTTCCCCTTTCAACGCAGTCTTGTGCTGTAAGTTCAATTACGCGATGACAGCGGCAGAGGCCACACAGCTGATTGCATCTATTTATAAATGATGCAGAGCAGAAGAGGATTCATACAGTATGGAGTCCGACCTGTGCTGCAGGAGCCTGACAGGAGAGCTGCACCTCCATGATACTAACAGATTGCCCATGCGCAATAATCAGATATGTACCTGCTATCTGATGCAAGCTTTCGTTTGAAAACCCGGACTGTAGCTCCCTGCTCTTGTTATTGGTTTACACACACACACACACACACACACACACACACACACACACACTGATTCCTGCAGCTTTTTAAATATCCTTTCAAACTTTGGGAGATATTGCAACTTGCTATCCGGGTCTTGTCTCCGCCACTGGCTTCTTCTATCAAAGGGCGTGATTGTTATCGTGGCCACTATCTCATCTGCTCAGCCCAGGTATCACTCACATCATAATATCGCACTCGATAAGGCTGCATACATTCTCAATGCTATCAGGATTTGGCTATATAGGCGTGGGCCTCTTCTGCACCAAGGACATAAACCCTGAATTCCTCTGCACGCTGCACACATTTTTATAGCATTTGAATTAAAAAGAAAAAGAAGAGAGAGAAAGAGATGCTATTGCAACATTTCCTTTCCTTTATGGAGCATCTGGATACTGGCAGCAGCACTAAAACCCACTAATAGTGACTATAAGCACAAAGTGGCTTCTCTCATAATAACGTAGTAATAATGTAAAAAATGTCTAATTGGCTCACATGGTGCAGTGATGAGAATGTAGGCCAGCTAATTGACCTTATTTCTCATTTGCTCCCATAAAATGTAGGCTGTGTAATCACATATTTGGATTTTTTTTTACAACGTGCACAGCAGGAGAGCAAACTGGGGCTCACTGTTAGTATTTGAAATATCTTACATCTCAGTAACTGCCTCTTTTTAATGATCAAAAACATCCACCAGCTTGTGTGTTTTTTTCTTCTTCTTTTTATCTTCTTTTTTTTAAATTATAGGCATAAAAATAAACTATTACTATTTCAATAACAGCTCTAATCAAAAGACGGGCTTTGAAGATTATTTGCTCCTCCAGTGTATCTTAAAGCCCTGAAGAATAGCGTTGAGGATTAAAAAAAAAATTTGAGAAGTTTGTGCTTCCATTACGCACTCGGAACAGGAGCGTAAAGCTTCTGGCTTTAAAAAGAGAAAAGACCTCTATACGTGCGACACAAAAGGAGGCTTGTAAGAAGAAATAAATGAAGGGGAACTTCTACAGTAATTAATTTCTCAAGAATACACCCTCACTCCATCCATCCCCATCTGCATGCATCCGGATTTGCGTTTGGAAATCATTTACGCGCGTCTTTCTCCATGTTAAGGTCTGACTAATGAGCATAATTGGGGGAAATCAGCTCCTGATTGACACACACCTGCATTCATTTTCAAATTGGCTTTAATAATTTCAGATTCCCGCCTCTCTCTCTCTCGCTCGCTCTGCCTCCCTCCCACCCTCCCTCCCTCTCTCCCTCTCTCTCTCTCTGAGGCGGAGTTTATCCCCTCTGCTCACCGTGTGGACTCTCCGCACTTGTCAGTCGCAGCCTGCATGCGTGAGGGAGAGGACGCCGTGCGTTCGCTTTGCAAGTCCACAGAGAGACACAGAGAGAGAGGAGAGACACTTTGTAGCCGTAACACTTCGCTCTTTTACGCTATTCCCCTCTCGTCGGATGCGCTCGAACCGCCCGGCAGTGAATTAAACGAGAAAATCCGAGGCAGGGATTGAGAATTACTGGAGGACACTGACTGTGGTGGAGTGGAGTTAGCCTGATGTGCAAGTAAGTGGGATGCTGACTGATGTAACCGGTATGGAAATAGCCTCGTGGGCTGCTTTCATCATTATGTTTGATTGTGGCAGGCGTTGTGTGGTTTGGAAAGCAGGGACTTTAACGGCACAACTGAAGGCCGTTTAAAGGCAACTTTGCTCGTGCGTTCGGATTGACGCTGTGGAATAAAGGCTCAAATCTGGCACACACACAAAAAAAGCTCCTAGAAATAAGGTGGTTAGTTGCCTGTTTAGTGTGTCCGGCCTGCGAGCTACATGCACTTGGGGATGCTGCATGTGCAAAACAAAAATGATGCTCTGGCACCAGACTTTGTGGTACACTTGTAAAGTATTTGTTTCCTTTCTTTCCTTTTTTTTTTTTGGTTTGGTTTTACGCAACACTGTGCGTAATGATGGCTCCAAGTTAAATCTGGTTTTTGATGGTGAGAGACTGTCATAGTTGGGGGAGTTTGGGGCCTCTGTGTCTTTTAAAGTGTGTGTGAGTGGAGGTGTGAGTGTGACAAACATGGACAACCTGCACTTTATCTCCATCTGTGGTGTGGTGATTGATAAGTAATTGGATAAATATTGGATAAATAAATGTGTGTGCGCGTGTGTGGCTCTCGGATCAGTGTGACCACCACAGGCAGGCTCTCTCTCTCTCTCTTTCTCTCTTTCTCTCTCTCTCTGTTTTCTTCTGTTTACCGGAGAGGCGGCCCCTTTAAGAGACGACGGGTTAGTTTGTGTCTTTGGTTATCTAGCTGTATGAGTTTTAATTTCATAAAGCTAGAGAACCGAAAGTACGAACTGACGCCGAGCACTTCGGAGCCGGAGGGGTCCTCTCGCTCTGGCCATGGAGGAGGAGGAGGAAGAAGAAGAGGAGGAGGAGGAGGAGGAGGAGATGATGATGATGATGATGCCGGCAGCAGCAGCAGCAGCAGCATGGAGCAGGCGGGAGGGACGAGATGCTGAGGGGAGGCTGAGCGCAGCAACCGCCGCCGCCACCACCGTTGAGGAATAGGAGGAGGAGGAGTGGTGGAAATATGAGGGGAGGGAGGATGGTTTTAAAAGGTGGTGGTCCACTTGGTGTGGAGAGGTGTTCAGAGAGCCACTCGCGTGTCTGTGATGTGAGGGCGTGAATGTTGCTGTTTTTTTGGGAGGGAAGGGGAGGGGGGGAGATTTGGGCATCGCGGTGATGCTGGGGCCTATTTGGGCATCAATAAATCAGCGTTTCCATCAACTTTAAGGACACGATTTGGAAGCTGCATGTGGCAAATCACGCTCAGAACCCACTGCGCGTGCTGTTGTGTAGTTGTCATAACTGTGTGGGTGTTATAACTGTAATATCTTGAGGGGTGAGACAGAAATAGTTAAAGGGGCCACACGATTGGTCAGATCGGGACTCACGTGACGGTGTTGGCAGCAGCAGCAGCAGGAGGAGGAGCAGCAGCATCAGATCGCTTTCTAAGATCTCACATGTTGGTTCTGGTGATTGCTTGTTGGGGCCCCCAGAAGTTGAAACAGGCTTCATTAAAGCCACTAATTAGACAGTCTGAATTGGTGCTGCAGAGCTGCATCCAGTGCAAGTGCAGACTCCCTGACTCCTCTGCTCCTCTCAGTGTATTTCCTTTATGAGTGGTGTAGTCTAAGTGATGTCCCCTGGCTGTGATTAACTTGACATTAGGAGTGTGATGTATAATTGGATGCACTTGCACATCGCTTGGTGCATGATGAAGAAGGCTGTGTGCTAACATACCTGCTATCAGTGTTTTTCCACCATCTGGGTGTCACATACCGACTGTTTTTTTGGTTCTTTGCTGCCCAAAATCCAGATCCTGCAGGGTGTAACACATCAACACCACACCGCATCAGGCGTTTAGGGTTAAAGAGGCCATCTTCAGCCCGCTCCCAACATGCTTCTCGAGCTGAAACCGAGTTAGACATGGCAGATGTGTTCAAATTTGTGTTTCGCTGCGTGGATTATTTTTTGCGTTCGCCTGCTAGATAAGAACAAAATAGGACATCGGCTCAGAGTTTGATCTATTCTTAGAGCAGAATCAGCAAGCCTCAGAGATGACTGAATATCCCTGAAGTCCCAGCATGCTCTATTTAGACCATGACTGACAATATTTGATGTGCGCCGTTAAACAAGGGAGCTCAGATGCTGTGTCTGTGTTGTTGACGTTTGCCAGGGTGCAGTTTGAGCCGGTGCATGCGGTTTGACCTGCACGTCCTCCATCTTGAATGGATGCAAAGAAAGTCAGGGATTAAAATGTTTTGTGGGATTATGTCATCTGCATCTGCACAGTGTTTTCTCTTTTTTTCCCCTCTCTCTCTAGAATTTACTCCTTTTATTTTACATGCAACATTTGTCATGTCTTTTTAGTAACTTAGCAACTGTGATGCTGTCCAGATAAAACATTATGTACACCATGGCTTTGTGGTGTAGTTATTCACTGCAAATACTTTGTGTGGCTTTTTCTGTGTCATTTGACTTTTTTTTGTTTTTGGCTCCCCACAAACACTTCAAGCGTGATTTACTGTACACACACAACACAATATATATTTAACCTTGCGGAATAATGAGAAGTGCATGTAGAAAAAAAAGAAGAAAAAAAAGAGGCACTTGTGCACAAAGTAAAACAAGTTTAGGAGACTGCTTTTAGCTGCAAGGTCAACACAAACGCATTAATTCCCCCCCTTCTGTCTTGTGCTTTCTTTCTTTCTTTCTTTGCTTTACAAGCCACTAATTTATTGCTGAAATAAAAAAGTTTTATTAAAAATGAGAGCTACATATGTGACTTCACACCCACTGATTCTCTTTTCTTTTGTCTTTAAAGGAAAATGTCGGCGACCTCAAGCCTAAAGTTTGTACTAACTCACAATGAAGACAAACCGGACAGAATGAGGAGCAACAATCGGCCTGCAGGTAAATATTGTTTTTTTTAAAATATAAGAAGACATGCATGGTGGACACAGATGTGGTTTGAACAACAAGCCCTGATGCTGCCAAATGCAGAAGCATCCTCTGCCTTATATATTTTGGGTATAACAATAAGTACACGGAGTTAAGAGGTCAAACTTGAAGATGCTGGAGGCTCGCAAATAGTTTTGTATCATCAGCCAGCGATGGAGCTTCGCTGGTGGTTGATTGTTGTCCATATTTTGTGTGGCTGGAGTTGTGTGGGTGTGAAAAAGATACAGGAAGAGAAACAGACTGAGCTTGAATTTTGAAATATTGGGAGTATTTTTTTATTATTATCATTTTTGCATCAGGAATGATTTTTAAAGTGCTGCTCCAAAAAGAGGGCATTAAAAGAGACGTTTTAATTTGCACACAGTCTAAATGTCGGTTTTGTACCCTTCCTGTATATTTCTGAATATACATACAGCGTGTAGCAGCAATAGGCTGTAGCCTGCAGCCACACAGAGTGTAAACGGCCTGATTTGAGCGAGTGAAGTAGGACCTCCATGTTGAATTCCATCATTCCTTTCTCCTTTGAAGTATTAACATTTTTTTACGTTGTACATCAACCCTCCTGCCCCCCTCCTCCTCGTCCTCCTCCTCCTCCTCCTCCTCCTCATCCTCCTCGCACTCAGACACACGCAGCTCTCTTTTTCATTCTCATACATTCAGCGTTTTATCCCTTTAAACACTATGATCCTATTTGTCAGGTAGAGTGTGTGGTAGGTGCAGGGGAGGTTGCCGTGTAATCTTTGCTGCGGTTCTTTATCCCGTTAGGAGAGCCGAGGCGTAGGGCTCACCCAAGGTTTGGACCTGCTCATGTGGAAAGAGCGTTTGGGTGGCTCTGTCCTTTTCGCCCCTAATGCCTTGACGAGCCACCCTCCCCTTGTCCAAAATCTCCTGATTACTGCGAGCAAGAAATTGATTTGCATGAAGGTATGGCAACATGCATAATTCAGCGACAGCAGCATTAGGTCAAAACAGTTGAATATGTCGACTATTTTCAGATCACAGCATGCCACAAGGTTTTTTTTGTTTTTGAGTTTTAACCCTAATATCAAAATTAAAATTCACAATTTTACGGCTTCTAAGACACAAACCCCTCCCTGCCAGAATTTTATTATTCCAGTTATTTCTGCAAGATGGCAACAGAAACATTCCCGGCTTTAAGGTTGTCAAAATGTTCCCTTCAATTCCCACCTTAAATTGTTGAGAATCAGGAATTAAACAGTAAGTACATATTGTTAGCAAGGTCAAATCTTCATGGTTCCACAACCTTGAAGCTCAATAGAAAGCTCAGTTATTCAAATTTAGTATGGAGTTCTTTGAGTCACCCAGATTTTCCCAAGCTTTATATTAGCATATGCAAGGACCGGCCTGTGCTGCTGTTTTCTAAAGTGGATGTAAATTATAACCTCAGTATTATACAGGCTGATAGGAGATAAATCTCTGCAGTAATGCATTGCAGCGAATGGAGAATGAGGGGGGGTGGGGAGGGCGTGTTGTAGAGGGTTTGAAGTGTGTGTGAATGTGTGTGTGTGTGTGTGTGTGTGTGAGGTACTGTACAATAGCCTGTGGCAGATGGAATACAGACTAGCAAAGCACTTGCTAATAGTCATGCTAAACTCTCTTTTCATCGGCTTTAGTTTCTCCAGATTTTCTGCCTCATTTCTGCGGGTTAGAAAAAAAAAAAAGAAAAGAAATTTTGAGACGAACACGAATCAAAACAGGAATATTTTAGCACAGTTGCAATTTAGGGGCGATACGCGGTTTTGCGAGTGTGCACACATCGTTTTAAAACAAATATTAACACAGGGAGATTACTAAGTCGAAATTTGCACTTGTGCGGTCCAAAAGGCTGAGGGGCTTCAGACCTCACGAGCAGAGTGGAGATCTCTTTGGAATCCCTATGCAAACTAGGGCTTGAATAATGAGATGTATTTATGAAGGGCTGGGAAGGGGGTCCCGCTTTTGAAAGCCAGTAGGCTGGAGCCTGAATGGGATAGAAGGAGGAGGAGGAGGAGGAGGATTGGTGGGGTGGGGGTGGGGGTGGTGGTGTTGTGGGGGTGGGTTGGGGGGGAGTCGGACAAGGGGTAACTGGGGGTGTGTGTGCAGGGGGTACAGGGGGCCCCCAGCAGTCCAGGCCTCGGCCAGGCAGCTGTGAAAAGGGGTCCCGTCTTTTTCCCACGCCCAGCAAGACGCGAAACAGTGCCGCAGCTCACTAGGGTCAAGTCCCATCGCTAATATATACACACATACATAGACACGCATGCACACACGCGCACGCACGCACACACACACACACACACACATCCAGGCAGAGATCGTGTGTAAAAGTTGTGCAAATTAACAAGCTGTCTGGGAAGCTCTGTGACATGGGGACACCTGCTATTCTCCCAGAATGCTTTGCACTCCCATCAGGGGCCACTGGGCTTGATGAGACAACAATTAGGTCATAACTTCAACTTGAACTTAAAATTCTGCTGAGGACTGAAAAGAGTCTGGATTATGATTTTTTTTTTTCACCCCCTTTCTCTTTGTGCATGTTGAAAAACTTGGCAGAGTGCGCTTCGTTCTTGTTGCATTTTCAATTTTTCATGTTTTCATTTTTTATTTTTTTCAAATTTAATCTTTCAAACTAGTGGATTTTTTTTTTTTTTTTCAGTGTTTGGATTTTTATTTTGTTAACCTTTTGAAGGAATACTTCTGCAGCTATTGATGTGTCCATTCACTCGGTCTGTGAAGACAAACTTGGCCTTGTGCTTGACCCGAGACCCTAACTGTCAACTTGGCATTGTCTGTTCTCACACACACACACACACACACTCGCACACACACTCACAAACACACACGGCTTCGGCAAAAACACAAAAGAAATATTTAAACGTGAAATAGAGGGAGGCTAGTGAATGATATGGCAACTACAGAGGAATGTCCAGGAGCTGAACTTTCAATGTGACCTTCTGTCCTTCCATAAATACAAAATGTGAGGCGCTCAAAGAAAACCACGGTGTTTTATAGAACACGCCGTCTTTTTTATCGCCAGGAAACTCTGTGGGTTTTTATTTTTTTCTTTTAGCAATAATTAGCATGAACAGCAAAAGCAAAGAAAGAGAACAGAACACGCCGCGTTTACTGAGTTGATCTGCTTTACGTCTCGTTCATTGTTCCACGTTTATTGCTCGTTTCAGTTTGTTTAATCGCGTTAAGGAGACAATCGGGCTCCTCGCTGAAGCTCCCTGAAATGCCGTCCATGTCAGCAGCTGCTCTTTTGCCGCCTTCCCCCCGTGAAGGTGGGGTCCCACCCATTCCTTTCCCTCTATCTCTCTCTAGATACTGGCACACCAATCAAAATGGTGCAGCACTCACTTCCCTCCCCGCTCGCCTCCATCGCTGCATCAGAGCCATCGCAGAGCGGTGTCACACTAATTCGGTTCCCCCTGCCTGCGTGAGCCCACCCGCTTTAATTCCACACTATGAAAAACACGGCGGCTATCTCCGTCGAATATATTAGCAAGCATCCTCTCTGGCTCTCGGGTACCGACTCCCTTTTTTCTCCTCCTCGCTCCTGACCGTCCCTCCTTCTCCATCTCGTTCTCTCCTCCTCATTATCATGTTCCCTCCTATTCAGATGAGTTTCAAATAGAGAGGGGGACCCTTCTAATTAGCTCTGTAAAGATGCTTTGTTGCGGTCAGTGTGGCCACCAGTGTGTGCATTGAGAGAGGATGTGTGACAGCTAGTGTTAGCATTGAGAAAGTGTGTATGGGCCCTTAATGAGGTTTGTTAGCTGAGTGTGTATCCTGCTGTTTGAATACACCCTCGGCAGCTTTTGAAGGAACAGAGATGAAGAGAGAGAAGGAGGAGAGAGGAGTCTTTCAGCGTGGCAGGTTGCAGAATGCAGATGATGCATTATGCCCAGCGTGCTTTCCATTCCAGCAGCAAATAAGAGGAGGAATAATGCTCTACTTACATGTTGTCCATGCAAACTGTGGGAAATATACGGGGGGTCATAGTGCTCGTCGGGCGTCGGGCGGATGTTCTGCGCCTTTCGAAATTTTGCGGTGACTCCGTGACATCCTCTGTGGGTTTGTTTTCAGCAGATGCTACAGCAAGTTGAGAAACAAAAGCAAGGAAATAAAGAAAGCTGATTCAGTTCATCATTTGTGCAAAGCAAAGAGAGCGTAAGGCGGCTCACTGAACAAGAGAAGGCCGGTCAGAAACCTTCTCACACGGACTCGTTGCAGAGTTTCTTTTTTAAGGCCTGAAATTGTTAAAGATACAAATAACAGGTGATCAACTCCGAACAGGGAGAGAAAAACGATGTTAAAATGCAGACAGAATGCAGAAGGAAGGTGGTGTTTGCGGTGGAGGAACGAGGGTGGAGATTAGAGATGGCTGGAAACAGACGAGAGCCGAAGGTGGAGGGTAGATGGAGAGAGGGGAGGAAGAAGAAAAAAAAAATAGGTTGGGGAAATGAGGGATTGTATGGAGCCAAAGAGCCGACCTGCTGGGCCTGCCTGCTGCCTCAGAGATTGTAAACTGTCACTCAGGATGCAGACAGACAAGCAAGACAGACATCATTTGCCCATATTACCCTCTAATACTGAAACTGTCGTCCATGCAGCCCCCTCTGCTCCCCTTCTTTCTTTCTTTTTTTTTTATCCTTCGCTCCATTTGCAGGCGTTTTTCTATTTTTTTTTTTTCATTTTGCCCGTGCGCATGCATGTATATGAACTCCCTAATCTATTTCCTCTATCTTCCACCAGTCACAGCTCCTCCACTACTTTCTCCTCTCTGTTGATGAAATGAGTCAGCTTGCAGTATGCTCTCCCCTCTCATTGTTCGATGGTTCGTTGCCTCTCCATAGGAGGTAGAGAGTGTTTGGGCTCTTTCCCCTGTTTTACCAGTTTACCAGTGTAATCCTTTACACTGGCACAATGAGCTCTCACTCCAGCCACAGGATTCTATTAGGCTCCCAGAGAGACACAGGATCTCCATAAACATTTTCCAGCTACCCACTACCCTCCCCTCTCCTCCTCCTCACCACCACCACCTATACCGCCTCGTGGCCTCAAACGCAGTCAAACTGATCGCTTCCTTTATACATTTTAAAACAGAATCCTCCCTTTTTTTTTGTTTCGCCAGAGGAGATTTTACCTGTCTGGAAACGGATGGTAGAATAAAAGCATGTACACTTACATTACCAACGGCTTGTTAACGCTGTCAGGTTCGCTCCCAAACTGACTCCCAAAACAGTGTTCCTTTACAACCGCCGAGTATATAACAAGCGACTGCGAACAAGCAAATGCTTGTTATGTGGTCTTTGGAGAAACGCTAAAGATGTTTCAAAAATGCTGAAATCATTGGAGGATGTGATTCCTGCTCTCTGCTGCAAGCATGATGCCATTAAAGTCTGCAGATATCCTTCATTTTGTGCACACATTGTATGTCAAACACAGGAACGGGCTTCTTGTCTTACTGAAATAACAAAAAGTAGACATGCAATTTGGTATTTCGTCGGAGGACAAGTTGCGTCCAATTATAGGACAACTATAAAATAAATATGCTAATTGTTGACTGTTGCTGTTATCACTCCTTTCATACATGCACACTTATTTTAAGATACTGAAAACAGGAAATGAGAATGAAAACGTCACTGGTCAAAATCAAAAGTGGGATGTTGCAGTCTTGTGGTATATATGGTCTGTGCTATAAGTAATTTCAAATGTGCGTAGTGATGTGTGTTGTTTTATAAAACATGCAGTGTCTCCAAGTCAGTATGCATCAATACACGGTAGACAACCTCTGGCTCCCTCAAGTTCCATCTTCTATTATATCTATTTCAGGCCTCTTTAAACTACAGACTTCAAAAATGTAGTTGGCAGGTGTTTGCTGAAAATTTTTAAATCACTCTCTAAAAACAGGATATAATATTGAAAGTATAATTAAAGATAAATGTGTGGTTTTTTCCTTTATATTTGTAATCAAGTGAACCGAGCACTAAAAGTAAAAACCTTGCCGCCAAAATATAAAACAACACAAAACATCATTTTGAAAATTATTTATCTTTTATGTGTTTAATTAAAAGACAACTTTTCAGCATTTATCCGTCGGTGCTAATAGGATGTGACGTGGCACCAGTCAGATGCTGTGCTGTGGGAGGGACATTGCTTTAGATGACAGAGTGAAGACTCCGGTTAGAAAGAGGAGAGCGCATCAGGCCTGACGTGGCACATTTCTCTGTGAAGAAAACCACTAACAATCAGAAAGATTTTGAATAGAAGTTGTGATATTCAGCTATACTTAAGGCTTCTCTGTCTAGATTAACAGACAGCTACAGCACCTATTTCTTTTCAGCTGTTATTATGAGTCGTTTATATAAATTAAATATGAAAAAATATCAGTTATTTAGAAATATTACTCTGTTGTGTGCCTGTGCTCTAATGTGGTGTCTTTAGTTGTAATTGATGCTTTAAAGATTGGCCTTATGTGGGGAGGGGATATAGTTATTAACAACAATGTGTTTTTATTTTATTTTATTGATGACAATAATCACTGCGATAAAAGAATTTTCATCTGTTGTCCCTCATAGCATAGTAAAACCAAGCAAAGAGAAAATCTAAACAAGTTAAACTAAACCGACGGATGTCTCGTGAAACTGACGATGCTGATTACTGTCGAGCGCATTCCCACAAACTGCTCGTTTAAATCTGTCGGATATTTAATTGTGTGCGACGCCGCTGCTTGGTGACGTCTCTCTGTTTTGTTCCTCAAGTCCAAAGCCATGGGTCACAGGGCTCGTCTCTGCCCGAGTCCTCCTTCTACCTCCCTCCTCATACACAAACATATCCCTCTATCTCCTATTCGTCTCCCCCCCTCCTCCTCCTCCTCCAACACCCTTCCCTTCTCCTCCCATCTTGATAATGCAGCTCTTTTCTTTTCTCACTGGGTGGAGGGCTGCCCTGAACCAACATTGTCCCCCTACGCTGGCTCTAGTGGGGGGGCCCTATTGTGTGTGAAGGAATGGCGAGTTAACACCCATGTCTGAACCCTCTCAATGGGAGCATTGTGTCTGAATCTTCCTCCGGCTCACCCAATCTCACCCCACACACCCCCCCTCCTCCTCACCCCCTCCTCTGCACAGGCCAAGCTAGGGGCTACTCCGATTGCTCGTCTATTATGCGATGAAAACATGCACATAACAGCGAAGTCACTAACAAACCATCCCATAACTGACCTTGGCCGTTTTAACCCTCTACTCTCTGTGTGTTATTGCAGCGAAGCACGCTGAGCTGAATGCGTCTTTGTTGCTGCGTTTGACAGAAATTGGGGCCACTGGGTGTTTGGTTGCTGAAGGAGGCCCCTGCAATTCATTTTTTTTTTCCTTATAAAAGAACAAAGAGACACATAGAAGGCTATATCGTATTAGCATGAGAACAGATTTCAGGATACTTTCAGGACGCACGGCAGCGAAGGAATCTGTTGACATCAAATTGTTTCATCTCGGTAGTGTTTCCTAACAACGCGGGTTGTGTTTAATCAGTTTAACCTGACGGATTCAGATTTTCTGGACAACATTTTTTAAAATGTGAACAAGAAATGGATGCTTCTGTGTTTCATACAGTATGTCGAGCATTTTTATTTGTTTCTGTATAGCAGCGAGAGCCTTGGGGCAGGTTACAAAAGAGCAAGTTGGCGTTTTCTTCCCACATATTTTTAATCAAAGTGTTAGTGTTTACATTTGCATTTGCATTGAGCAGAGGGATGCTGAATGCCAAAGGTGAGATTTTGAAAAACACTCTCTATTTTCCCTTTTTTCAGATGGAAACAAGGGTGGGTGGTTGGAAGGCTGAATAAAGGCTGGTAGATGACTGAACTCAGAGACCCGGCGCAGCTCATCATCATTGCCATGGGCTCTCATCTTCTTCCTCTTCCTCCTGTGGCTCGTACCTCCATCCAGGGGTCCAGCAGAGCCAGCGAAGCCCAGGCGGGGAGCTAGTGAGTGGGCTGGGAAGGATGGAGAAGGTCCCCAAAGGCTAGAATCACCTCTGGAGCTACCGGCATGCAGGAGAAATCAATATGAAACACAGAACCTTCACAGCTCTGAGTGGGGTTTCCTGTGTTTTAAGTGTGTGGCCTAGGGGCCCGCAGACCTCCAAAGGACAGGCCCTGCGTGGCTCTCTCAGCTGCAGCCCCGGCTCCTCAGACTGGACCTCAGTCCGGATCTCCACTGGCTGTGTGTGTGGTTCTGCTGAAGGGGATTTCTCCCCAAATAATACCCAATACCCAGAATGTTGAAAGACTGCCAAGAGGGATCCTCCTTTTCTCTTGATTTTTTTTTTCCATCATTAGATTGACATACCCCCCCACCTTCTGCCTCCGGCTGTTTAAAAACCAGTTTGGGAGTTCTGCTTTTGACTCACTCTCCATCCTCAGCTCACCCGTTGTTTATTCCCCAACTAGTTTTTACATTTGACAAAGAGACAGTACGATCTTTATTTTCTCTTCCTCTCTTGGCTTGCTGTTACTATGGTGAGCCGTAGACACGTGTCTGTTCAAACCCGAAATACTGGCACACGAAGTATGAACCTCGTTTTTTTTTTTCTTTTTCCTCCACGATGTCTATTATTATTCAATTTCAGACTTTTTTTTTTTTTTTTTTAACTGACTGAACAGTAAAGAGGGCTGAAGATCACAGAGCAGACAGACCTTGTAGTGGAGATGGTAAAATGGCAAGTATCTCTCTTTAGCACTCCACATTTTCCACTCTATGAACAAGTCTGAATGTGCTCTCATTACCTCATGTACTGCCTAAAATAGCCTGCGAGAGTGTGTGTGTGTGTGTGTGTGTGTGTGTGTGTGTGTGTGTAAGAGAGAGAGAGACAGTAAGTTGGCACCCTGTGAGGATGATTTAGGATGATGAGCACAGCTGTGAAAGGTGTTTCTTCAACTCTGAGAAATGTTTGGAGTTAATTTCATATTTTTCATCGTAACATGTCACTCAAATCTGAACATTTTGATTCATATGAGACGGCTACGCTGCTCCGTATTCCTATTATCTGCATGAGTATGAATGGGCGGTATGCGCTTGGCCTTGAGAGTGTTTGAGCAGCAGCAGCAGCAGCAGCAGCAGCATCGTGCACCCACAGCTCCCAAACTGCTGTCGTCGTCACAGTAATGCAGCGCGGTTGTTTCCATCCAGATGGGCACAGCTTCAGACAAAATGGCCGCCAGTCTTTCCCCCCTCTGCCAAAGATGGCGAGTGCATCCCTGTTGTCTGCCATCTGTGCATCCGTTAGCTGTTGTCGAATGCAAATCGAAGCTAATTGCATTTGCATAACCTCCAACCATCGTGCGGTTGGCGTGCGCTGATAATTGAGCCTTACGAGGGCGGCGTGGCGGCGAGCGAAGCAGGAGTGAAGTGATGTTTTAAAGCGCGTTCGGTCGCTGTTTGTCTGGGGGTTTTTTTTTTTTTTTTTTTCCTCTCGGGGTTGCAAGTATTCGCACCCCAAAATGTGTTTGATAGGTGTTCAGCGCATGTGAGATCAAGAGTCTAGACATATACCGTGCCATATGGCGCGCATGTTTGCATGTGATTCGCCCACATGCAAATGTGACACTGTACAAAAGATTAAGCCGAGGCTTTGTTTAATCAGATAGCACTCTGTCACGCATGCACACTCACCGTTTTTTTTTTTTTTTTTTAAACGCGCGGACATACATAATGCACAGATGAAAGCATTAAGCAAACAGAGCAGCTCAGACACGCACACGGATTCTAATTAAGAAGGGATCCATAGGCCCAACAAACTCCAGACAGACAGACCATAATAGTCTCATTTTCATGCACATGGGTGTCTGGTTACCATGGCACTGAACAAATCGCGGGATGACTGATTTTGCCAGAAAAGAGCTGCACATGAAACATATAAATAGGCGGCGGCACAAAAAATTGCTGCCCGAAGACCAACTGAATTGCAGCTTTGAAGTATATCAACGCCATTTCCCAAAGAACACACCAGTTAGAGGGAAATAAGAGACGAATCAAGCGCTTCACATCTATTCGAGACGTCGAAAGGAGAAGAAAAAAAAAAAAGTGCCTTTCACCAAATGAAAGAAGAAAAAAAAAATATTGAACAAGCCTGATCTCATAACTTTGCATAATAACATCCAGAGCTGCTTTCGTAGTCGGAGGATTGAAACGCTGTGTAAATTAATATGTCACGTTTCTGCATTATGGCAGAGCGTCTTTTTTTTTTTTTTTTGCAGTCGCATTTGATTGAGCGGGTCTTCTGTTTTGTTTTTTTTTTCTGTTGGGGTGGTGGGGTGTGTGTGTGGGGGGGAGGCGTTAATTCATGCGACGGCTGAGCAACAATGCAGCGTTCGTATTTGCATTTGCCCATCAAGGCAGCTGCTGTGCTGTACAGTTAGGTCTACTGTGGGCAGCAAAATGGCGGTCACGCGAATCATAGGGTTTGTCTGCCGGTCGTGGGAGCTGAGGAGACGAGAGGAGAGGGAGGGGAGGGGCGGGCGGTGGGATTTTGGGGTGTCTGGTTTGAGAGAGAGAGAGAGAGTGGGTTGTGGGATCTAGACTGTGGGGTGGTGGTGGGGGGAGATGGAGTAGGGGGGTGTAAGTGGAGAGGTTATTATTTGAGGAGGGGGGCGTCTGGTTTTAGGAGGGACCATTAATGAGGGACTGGAGGGTCGGTGGTAGTGGTGGTGGTGGTGGTGATGGAGGGGGGTGTTAGTTTGTCTGCATTTGCGAACATGTGTCTGTGTCGTCTCGGCCATTTGCATACAGCGAGCAGGGCGTCCATATGCTGCGCGGCGAGGCAAATTCAGCACCTCGCACGCCTTCCCCAACGAAAACCTGCAGAGTGTGTTGCAGCCTTCCTGACAGTCACATTATCTGTAGGGGAGCAAGCAACACGCTCCAACCCATTCCTCACAATAACACTTAAACGCTCCTACTATACAGGGAGCCTCGTGTCGGTCGCATCACCGTTTCCGTCCGTCACGCCGGCCAATGAGGCTCCGCCGAGCCGCGTCGGGCCAATGGCGAACCGCAGAGAATCAGGAAGAGGAAGGAAAAGGCAAAAAGGGGAGTCATGAGTTTACCCTTGATGTGCCGGAGGAAAAGGGAATCAACAAAAACAGCTTCAGCCGAGATGGAAATCAAGAAGGGGGAAAGAAAAAAGGATGGTGGGAACAATGTGAGGAGCCGCGATGAAGCGCATGTGTTGGAGCGAGAATAAAGCGAGTGGAGAACGAGCACTGTGTCACATGTTCTTTGTGTGCCAGTCAGACATGGGATTAAAGAATGCTTATATATCAATTTGAGAGGTGGGTGGAGAGAAAGAAAAGCCTCCCCTCGCATGAAGACGGAGTGGTCGCCATGACTCCCTACAAAAGTCAGACAGCCAGACACACATACAAAGCAGATCTCCATAATTTGCCGTATGAATAAAGTGTTGATCGTCTCCCGTCCTGGAGGTCCCGAGCTCGGGAGCGTGGGAATCCACGGAGAACATATGCAGAACAGTCGGGGCGCTGGCGAGACGGCCCCGCTAGCATGAATACTGCTGTAGCAGGTGAAAGAGGACCCTAGAGTTCAGGGGTCAAGGCCAGCGGAGGGGTTGTCTGGTTCATAAGTGTGTGTGTGTGTGTGTGTGTGTGTGTGTGTGTAGGGCCTCTTTGGTTGTCGTCTGGGTCTTGTAGGATGCAAATGAAGTTGCCGGGGCTGTTTGATAAGCACTGCTGTCTATTATTAGCTCAGTCTGGTTGCTCAGAGAGGACAAGTCTGGGTGTAGAACTTGGACAAGAGCTCCTTCATCATCTTGTAGTCGCAGCGGAGTAGCAGACAGGCAGAAAGACAGGCAGCCTAAAGTCAGACCTCCCCTGCTGAAAGTGTGATTGTGTTGTCTGGAAGCCTTTTCTACCCACATCTCTGCTTTCTGTGACATTTCCTCTCTGAGTGACACGTTGGTCTCAGGCTTTCCAGTGTGGTGCCTGTCTTTGTTTCTCGCTGATTGACGGCAGCTTTGTACCAAGACTCCACATTTCATGGAGGAAATCGTCAAGAGCGCGCCAGTTTAGACGCCGGATTTACACCGTTTTCTTACAGCTCTTTCATCTTAAAGGAGGAGGCTGGCGATGCTCTGTGTGTGTGTCAACAAAAAGTCAATATGAAAAAAAGGAACCTCTGGTTATTTCTCTTCTTTTGGTGTCACCTTAACAGCGGCACTGATGCGGGAAGTTTTTCATCCAAAAGAGAACGGGGTTTTTTTGTTATTTAAGGGGCTAAAATGAATTTAAAAGTCGAAGAAATTCTGTTTCTTTTGAGCATTAAGCAGACTTCAGTTTACATCGAAAGAAAACCTTAATCGTGCCTTTTATTTCTGAAATTTTAAATTTGAAGAAACATCTTAAAATACAGTAAATGCAGCATTCTGGGTTGTTAATAATTTATTAATTTGATTTATTACAATATTTATGGCATGCCTTTTAATTGATCTTTCAAATAAATATTCCCTGTGCAGCTTACAGTATCTTATTCCGTGACACCATAAAGCAGTGTTGGCAGTGTTTTTGTACATAAATGATTAAAAACACCACATATTTCTTCATTACGATCAGCTGTGTTTTCATTTACGTCACTCCTACATACTTTGCCATGCGACCATAAATGTGTATAAATGTGCAGGTGAAAACAGTCCTCACCTAAAGCTCTGTTAGCTAATGTTTGAACATTTGCCAAAAAAAAAAAAACTGAAGTGACGAGAAATCAAATCTATACATTTGTGAATATTTTCTAAAGATTTACATTCTTAGGAGGAAGTAAGGTGCAAGAGACGAGCTGGGGAAGTCCGAATGTACAGAAAAACGAACTTGACAATTGTTGATTTTGGCTTTTTTGGACAATAATTAAAATATAGAAACACGTCAGCATTTTAAGAGCTTTTTTTAGCCTGTTTGAACTTGTAGTTTTTGTCTTCTGTCGTATCTCGAGGAGTATCACGCCAGCAAAAGATTTATTTGTTGTTGGCCTGTTGCGAAGCGTTGCGTGCATAAAGGTGCGTTGCTTATGGTATCCCTTTAAGGGAGGCAGCATTACCTCATCAGGAGCTGTGTAAAGGAAGGAAGTGAGTGAATGGGTGAAGGAGCGCAGTGCTAACTCTCTCCACTCCTTTATGCTTGTGGGTCCAGGCTTCATTAGCTCTACAGAAAGGGACAGCTCCCTCCCAGTCCCCTCAATAGACCCATAGACCTGTCTCTGGCACTGGCTCGGGCTCAGCGGGAGGGAGTGTGTGTGTGTGTGTGTGTGTGTGTGTGTGTGTGTGTGTGTGTGTGTGTGTGTGTGTGTGTACCATTGACACACCGCTCATAGTTTCTCACTCATGCCTAAAGGAAGCCTGGCATTGACACTTTTTTAAGACTCACATCTCTCTCGCTCTCTCTTTGTCCCTCGT